ACCAATCAACCAATGGCACTATTAGGCTACCAGTTCTATCCAATGTCTGAGGAGGAAAGTAGTTCTAGAAATTAAAGTCTGATAATGAAGTCATCATAAAAATCATACGAAACAGACTTCATGACTGACGACTGGAAACGCTATAGTGGCGTTCTTTCTGTCTCTGCCTGTACATAAGAGCAATAACATTAGGGTGGGATTATTTATTTGTAAGACTTTTTCATGAAATGCATACTGCAATATTGATATATAAAGCCAGCAGACTCTCGCCATGATTACATTCAACTACTACGTCATTATATCGCACATAATTAAAGCTACTATACCAAAAGTGAAATGTCAATCGATTATGGGATGCCAACCTATTTCCGGTTTCTTCAGAGCCGGAAATTGAATATAATATGACTCGTCTTGCAGACATTTATGGAGAAAAGAACATGGCAAAGATCCTTATGCACACATACCTGGCCAATCTATTGTAAAATGTTTGCTAGAAAATTAGATGAAATTATAGTTGGTAACATCCAAATGTCACAATGACGTCTGTTTCCACTGCAACTACATATTGCATCTATGATGGGGAATTAACATTACACAGTGTTATTGCTCTGACATCTAGAACAAAAGAATACGATTAGATTATTCAAATCCTAATGTTTTGTAGGTTCTTTTAAATAGTTTACCGTTAAAAAAAAGAGCAACAGACGGAACATAAAGCAGGCCAAAATGATTAATAAACATTATTTCATCTCAGTCTCAAGTTTATTTCCAAAACTGTTTTGGTGCGATTCTGACTTTACAAGGCAAACTGCAATTAAAACTTCAAAATGAGTATACTTACCGATAGAAGTTTTCTGTCAATTAAGGTCATGCATTTAAAGTTTGATTTGTTCATTAATTAAAATGAAATATATGTATAAAAGGACACTTATTCATAAAAACTAGTTTATCCGAATCCCTGGTTGAAAGTCACAGATAACTCTAATTTTATTTCAACCATATTTTGTAAAGATTCTTTTCTATTTGCAACAAACTTTATTAAATAACTGCCTGCAAAATAAGAAATTTCTAAAATAAATTTAAAATTTAGACCCACCTGTAAACCCTGGCAAAGGGCAACGAATTACTGTTCCGCCTAAAATGATCTGAAGAGAATTTATATAATGACGTACGGCCAAATAAAGTTGGATATCTTCTCGACGTGAAAAAAAATTCAAGTATTTCTCTTCCAGTATTCTAGGACTGCAATACTTGTTATGGCACTCTGAGAAACAAGGCAATCTGCTCTCAAACTAATATAATCCTTCTGTAGATTGCAATTTCCAAAAATACTCATATCAAAGTATAAAGGGATATCGTCAGCAAATACGGTAAAACCATTTTTTCTGGAGGCAAAAGTATTGCTATCTACAAACTACTTGCATATATCTACTTAAACATCAAACAGTGAAATAATGTCCCTTATTAAAAGACAATAATTTGGAGACGTGTTGTTGAATTCTTTGCGTATCGCCTATTTCTCGGAGTTGAAACCAGAGATACGAACACATCACATTTTTTTTTACAATGGAACAGAGTTGGCATCTGCATTCAATTAATGTATAATGCATCAGAAGAATAATCGGGTTTAGAAATATCATAAAATATCTCAGGAAAGACTAGAATTTTATCATTATGCCATATACATTACAAGTGAAGCAAAGACACACTAGAGCAACTGCAACGGTTCGCCATCGCAAATCCCGCTCCAGTACCTCGATCTTAAATGCATATTCTAAAAACTGCACGTAATGATCCCCACACCCGAAGATTCCGCTCCAGTACCTCGATCTTAAATGCATATTCTAAAAACTGCACGTAATGATCCCCACACCCGACGTAAACCACGGTTAGAGGTGCAAAATGCGTCTCTTATAACATGCGCCTACGTGGTATAACTGCATACTTGATGTTTCCCAAGGATCCTATGGATGCATACCACGGAAGACTAAATTCTCGAAGATGATTACCTCAGGGAAAAAGTAACCATGAAGGTTATTGAAATTTCATTAGACCATTTAGGTGGAGATACGGTAACGGGCAGAAAGAATGACATGTCAGTATTTCTCTAGTTTTCTTTTAAAAATGCGTGGTTGTAATTAAGGTGAATAATTAACATACAATGGTTCAAAAAGTACATTTTATAATTAAAACTGTTATTAGCTTAAAAGAAACTGATTCAACTGACTTGCCAAACTAGAACTGGAAGGCTTAATTCCTCGATGCGCTTCAAAGGCAATAATCTTGTAATATCCTTCATAAATAATTAAAGCGGTAATGTACTAATGGGAATTGCAACAAGTAAAATGATCTGGATTGTAAAATAGTTCGATCTACAACGAGCATTAGGTTCAGGTCTTTAAGTCTTATCTATCTGAGATCGTCTCAGTCTCAGGCTTCGACTTCTCATATATTAGAGATTCAGTCTCACGTTCAGGCCTCTAATTCTTATATATTTGAGATCTTTTTTCATGCTCAGGTCTTGAATTTTTATCCAGTGGAGATCCAGTCTGATGTTCAGGCCTTGAGTTCTTCAAATTGGCAAGACATAGACTCTGAATCGATTTGGAAGTTCAAGAATTGTATCATCAAAGTTGCTAGTGCTGTGAGACTAGTGCTTTTATTGTGAGACTAGTGCTTTTAGTGTAGTGCTTTTAGTGTGAGACTAGTGCTTTTAGTGTGAGACTAGTGCTTTTAGTGTATGCTTTTAGTGTGAGACTAGTGCTTTTAGTATGAGACTAGTGCTTTTAGTGTAGTGCTTTTAGTGTGAGACTAGTGCTTTTAGTGTGAGGTGCTTTTCGTGTGAGACTAGTGCTTTTAGTGTGAGACTAGTGCTTTTAGTGTGAGACTAGTGCTTTTAGTGTAGTGCTTTTAGTGTGAGACTAGTGCTTTTAGTGTAAGACTAGTGCTTTTAGTGTGAGGTGCTTCTAGTGTGAGACTAGTGCTTTTAGTGTGAGACTAGTGCTTTTAGTGAGAGACTAGTGCTTTTATTGTGATACTTCCAAGAATAGTTCATCTATACGTATTCCCTATTTTATTTTTGCTTCAATATGTTTCATGCAAAATATTTTCAAATTAAATGTTCATGTTTTTGCTTTATAGAAAGTATGATTTCTAGCAGCCAATCACTTTGGTTTAATAGCATCTTAAAAATCTCTTGCTTGAAATCATCACTGGAATTCCAATTGGCTGGGAGAGAAAGTACAAGTTCCCTCTGACCTAAACTCTGAAAAATTACAAACACTTTGAACCGATAAACGTCTCAAGATGATTTTCCGAAGGTTAGTATCTGTTCGCAGTCTTAGATTTTCAAATCGAGCCCAGCTAAAATAATTAGTTTATGAGGACAGATGATTGACTCGACGCAGTCTTGGCTGATGAAGAGGTGAACTGTATGCTGTAAGACGTTTTGGAACAAAGTAATAACATTGACCAATGAACCTAAACTGACCGTATAACAAACGTAGCTCAGTGATCAGTCAGCGATAAAGTAAAGGTTTATTTTTTCTTAAACATTTAATAGACCATCCTAGCAAAAGAGAAGAGGAAAAGAAAATTCTCAGACTATATACCCTATGTGCATGCTTCATAATTATACAATGTACAATGCAAGCATGACTCCATCTCACCCATACAAACAGTCAAAATAGTTTGCGTTCTTTAACTCATCTGAAACCGAGGGAACTTCTTGATAATGGTTTCATGTCAATGGCAAATTTTACTATATAACTGGACCAAAGAAATATGTAGCAGTGATTAAAAATTTAATGAACTTGGTTGACAATCTACTTCTGATAGCAAGAAGGAACTGACCTGTTTTGGTGATGTAATATTTTGTAACTACTGCCTTGTGCAGAACTCGTGAGGTGTGAAATTTAGCTTAAAGGAAATACTCGAAAAGTTTGAAACTTTGGTTGAAGGAGAAGAAGAAAGCTTAACTGTAATCAATTAATGTTCTCATGTTCAAGAAAAAAATAAATATAATTATGTTATATTTGTGCCGTGAAATCAGTAAGTACTTTACATTTGTGCCATGAAATAAGTAAGTACGTTACATTTGTGACATGAAATCAGTATTCACGTTACATTTTTTGTGCCCTGAAATCAGTACGTACATTACATTTGTGCCAAGCATTAATTACGTACGTTACATTTGTGCCATGCAAGCAATCAGTACCTTATTTTGTGCAATGAATTCATTAGGTACCTTTCATTTGTGCTGTGAAATATGTAAGCACATTGCTTTGTTCCACAAAGCACTTTACATCATAACATTATTTATTGCAATGAAATGTACAACAATGCCTAGAAAATTTCATGCCAATTTTATGCTAAAGTCAGTTTTTCTTTCGCTCTTTTTGGTGAGGGAGGGGTGGGATGGAGCCATGACGGCACTTTTTGGTGAGAGAGCGGTGGGATGGAGCCATAACGGCACTTTTCGGTAAGGGAGGTGTGGGATGGAACCATAACGGCACTTTTTTGGTGGGGGAGAAGTGGAATGGAGCATTAGCAGCACTTGTTGGTGAGGGAGGTGTGGGATGGAGCATTAACAACACGTTTTGGTGTGTGAGGGGTGGAATGGAGCATTAACAGCATTTTGTGGTGAGAGAGAGGGGTGGGGTGGAGCATTAACAGCACTTTTTGGTGAGAGAGGGGTGGGATGGAGCCATAACGGCACTTTTTGGTAAGGGAGAGGTGGGATGGTGCCATAACGGCACTTTTTGGTGAGGGAGGTGTGGTATGGAGCATTAACAGCACTTTTTAGTGAGAGAGGGGTGGGATGGAGCTTTAACAGCACATTTTGGTGAGAGAGGGGTGGGATGGAGCATTAACAGCACTTTTTAGTGAGAGAGGGTGGGATGGAGTATTAACGGTACTTTTAACACCTTATTGGCAATATTAAACCGAAAAAAGGGACTTACGTGCATTTTGCAAGGACATACCATGCAGAAGACCAGGGCTAACCGTGATGGGTATCGAACCCGCGACCCTTGGATCACAATTCTGATGATCTACCAACTGAGTTACAGCGGCTATTGTACTGTCTACTTAGGTGTATTTCTTCTCAATATTTGATATAAAAGTGCTCCGTGAGAGCTGTTCTAAAAGAACGAATATAAGCTTCAAGCATAAAGCATCAATAGTTTGACTGATATTAAGTCTAATTTTTCTACAGTTTCATAATGGATTTGATTATTATGTTATCATAAATTTCTTCAAATTTCAAATTCGGGCCAACAGTCTGTTCTTTCAGTTCATTCTAAACAAAATGAGAAGTTGTCATAAAAGCATTACAATGTTGAGTGCAATAATAATAATAATAATAATAATAATAATAATAATAATAATAATAATAATAATAATAATAATAATAATAATAATAATAATAATAATAATAATAATAATAATAATAATAATAATAATAATAATAATAATAATAATAATGTGTCAAGTTAAACAGCACATATTAAATCTTTTTCAGTTGTTATAATTCAGGAACTATTAAAACTGCGATTTAGCATTTGATTAAGAAAAGTAAACAAGCCAAGCAACATCATTCCCATCACATAGCAATTGAATGTTTCTATGTCCGCCATTTTCTGCTTTGAAGTTTCTGTGCTTGGACGGTAGGCAGACATAACCAAGACTAAAGCCTAAAGACGATTGGTTATTATCCTGCTTGTCAGGTACTAATAAACTGTATAGTTCTTTTCATCTCCAACATTCCTTGCATGCAATCATGCTTTGTGGCACTATTTGGAAAATTGCACAGATTTTATGTAAGATCAACCCATTTAATCAATAATATTGGATGCAATGACTAAGATTTGAAAGTGCGTATGATTTGTTTCTCACCTTCGTGTGCTCCTTATGACACTAATCTTGTTTCGATTCACTTATTCATATGGTTTGCATTCTTTTATATTTTATCCACCGGAGAATTTTACCTCGACTTTAACATCTAAGAACCTTGCAGTTTTCATCAATGAAATCACATGCAGCTGTAGCGAGTTAAGGGAACAATATGTTAAACACAAGAAGAAGAATTATGGTATTTTGTCCTGTGTCAAATCCAGTACAAATTTCTTTGGTTCTTATATATATCAAAAAACAAATTAATTAAACATATTGACTATGAAAATACTGAAATAATAGTTTCCAGGGATTACGTTGAAATATATAATCGCTAATGTCTGAATCTGATTATGTAGTGTTTTAAGATATGGTTTGCATGTTTCTGAATGGATGAACAGTTTATATTCTAGACCACAATGAGCAATCATTCTTGTGCGCACTTGCAACTAATAGTTTTCATCGTTATCTCTCTATTTTCGTGGCGCTGTCATCCTTACTAGATATGACACATTGTTCCATTCTTTGAAGCAAAGAAAACAGAAATGGTTGTTTTCATATCTTTTCTATATAATTTAGTTTTATGTAGAACTTGCTTGTTTTAATAATTGATGGAATAGCAACATATTTATAAAAGATCTTTATGAAGAAAGCAGGGCATATGTTGGAAGCAAATTTACTGCACAATGTTTTGAAACTAAGAAGACAAATTAGACCGTGTCAGAATCTTACATAAACTGACAATGTATAAGAATAGTATTAGAATATCAGGCATGCTTTTGCAAGATGGTTTTCTAATATAACATCAACATTTGCTTTTAATGTGGAGAGCTCTCTGCTTGCATATATTTCAGCATACTCATCTTTGACATACCAAAGACTTGTTCAAACATAGTGAGGCCGTAATTATAACTGTGTTTGAAACATGGAAGCATAGTGATATATCGTTTTAAGGAAATAATCCAAGTGTGTTACATGTAAATCAATGTTGACATCCTCATAGAATCTAAAATACTGACGAGCAAAAAGGCCATATTAATTTGACATTTTGTTGGAGACTACTATCTACAGAATTAAAATAGAGACCAGTTATGTAATTTAAGGGATCTCTACCCAATATTTGACAGAAAGCAAAAAAGTCACAAACACTGGAAATATTAATTTGAGAAAATGAAATATCTTAGGTAATAACAACAAGCAACTATGGCTACGATTTAATATAAGGAAATAACGTCATGATTTGAATAGTCGTTAAGGGTCGGTTATACCTGTGCTCTTCTCTTTAATTCTTTTACATCGTTCAAATAATTTGCATGATATTTGAGGTGTAGAACAGGTGCTAGAGATAAAAGTAGAGGCGTGACGAAAAACCTACTACACACATTTTGTTGTTTTATTATTACAGTCACATACGTATCAATCAGTTAGATCCTAATGGTAATAACAGTGTCATTTTACTCATATAAAGGCAATTGCCGGACGCCTCGTCCTTGAAGACATTTTGCCCTATCACTGAAATTAATTAGCAAATAATTGTTTTAACAAAAATTCCTTGCCTACCCATTGTAAGGAACTGTCTGCTAAATCAATATACAACAGTTTTAGTTTATGTAAAATAATTACCAGCTTCATTAAGACAAATATCAACAACAGCAATAATAATAATAATAATAATAATAATAATAATAATAATAATAATAATAATAATAATAATAATAATAATAATAATAATAATAATAATAATTAATAAATGAAAAAAGTTTTAAAAAAACAAAAACAAAGGTTTCTCACCTGACTTATCCATGATTGTCGTCTATAAAAGAAATTCCTTCAGTAATGTATTTAATGTACAAGATTGTTCCTTCTGTTAAAAACACAACCTGTCACAAACCAATTCTATGTTTTTCCGTGCACCAGAGGAACATTTCAGCGTCTCGGAAATATGCATATTAAACGTGGTAAAATAAAATCCATAGAGCACCTACATAATAAATTTGTCTCTGAATAAAGGAATCGTGAGAGAATGAGTATTGATTGTTTCTGCGATTCTGATACAGCACATTTTCTGCATTATATGACAGATATGTTATACACTGGTTGGCGACAAGTTCAAGTCGCAAATCTACAAGTACGTCACGGAAAGCTTATCCCGGGGAATGTTCCATTCCCTCGTACAGGGGTGTTTATCTGCAATTCCTTGCACGAAATTTAGTCAGATTTGTTCTCTATAATGCTACTAGATTCTACCAGACGAGCTATTAATGTCCACAAAACCACGTAGAATTTGCGGACAGGTAATTGAATTTCCGTTTCTTGCAGTATAACATGGACGACAGACTTTATCTCATCATTGATTAACGCACACTTATTAGAAAAGGAAATCAGTTTTAGATGCAACATTCTAAGCACAATGTCAAGTACTGTACTATCAATTAAAAATACCTAAAATAAAGTTTAAAATGTACATTTATCTCTTTCCGTAAATCTCTAAATGCAGTCATCATTGTCATGCAGACGTTCTGTATTGTATGCAACTTGAACAATTTTTAAACTATTGCAGATACTCCGGCGAGAAGTTTACCAGCCGACGTGAATATTATATGATACATTCTGATGTAATTCTACGTTTGTGGTTATGTTTCAATGATGGAAACTTTACATGTTCAAGGTTATCTGCCGATAATTTAATGATAATGAAGTTTATTATGTTAAGCAATAAAGTATAACATGTTTGAAGATTGATTAAGAATTACGAATATCTTAAAACATTACAGATTAATATCAAAACAGCATGATACGATAAGATAATCAAAAGATAACCAAATAAGCATAAAATTAAAAATTAAAAGTTTCGAATTTTGATAGAATGAGTCGTAAAACAATGTTTCAATTGATTCATAAACGAAATATTTAGTAGTCTGAAATCACTGGCGTAAACCGTTTAGTAACCAGTAAGAAAAAACAAGCGTGTCCCCTTCAGTAGTCAGTAAAAAAACAACACTTGTTTAATTAAGAAGTCAAGCAGACCTCACTTACGTAAACCCTTTGGAAGTCAGTGAGAAATCTCTCGTGTAAACCCTTTAATAACCAGTCAGAAATCATAAGTGTATACTCACTGGTAGTCAATCAGAAATCGCTATAGTGAACCCCTTGGTAGTCAAATTATACCATTCATTTATCAGTCAAAACCCATTACTGTAAACCCTTTGGTAGTCAGTGAGAAATTAAAAGGTATACCATTTGGTAGTCGGCAAGAACTCACAACTGTAAACCCTTTAGTACTCAGTGGGAAATTAAAAGGTAAAAAATTTGGTAGTCAGCAAGAACTCACTAGCGTAAACCCTTTTGATAGTCAGAAATCTCTAGCGTTAACACTTTGATAGTCAGCCAGAAACCACAAGCGTAAAGCCTTTGGTAGTCAGACAGAAATCACAAGCGTAAACCCTTTAGTAGTCAGTCAGAAATCACTAGCGTAAACGCTTTTATAGTCAGTCAAAAACCACTAGAGTAAACCCTTTGGTAGTCAGTCAGAAATCACTAAACACTTTTATAGTCAGTCAGAAATCACTAGCGTAAATCCTTTGGTAGTCAGTCAGAAATCACTAGCGTAAACACTTTTATAGTGAGTCAGAAATCACTAGCGTAAACGCTTTTTTAGTCAGTAAAAAATCACTAGAGTAAACATTTTTATACTCAGTCAGAAATCACTAGAGTAAACACTTTTATAGTCTGTCCGAAATCACTAGAGTAAACACTTTTATAGTCAGACAGAAATCACTAGAGTAAACCCTTTGGTAGTCAGTCAGAAATCACTAGAGTAAACGCTTTTATAGTCAGTCAGAAATCACTAGCGTAAACTCTTTGGTAGTCAGACAGAAATCACTAGAGTAAAACCTTTTATAGTCAGTCAGAAATCACTAGAGTAAACCCTTTGGTAGTCAGTCAGAAATCACTAGCGTAAACGCTTTTATAGTCCTTCAGAAATCACTAGTATAAACCCTTTGGTAGTCAGTCAGAAATCACTATTATAAACTCTTTTATAGTCAGTCAGAAATCACTAGAGTAAACCCTTTTATAGTCAGTCAGAAATTACTAGAGTGAACGTTTTTATAGTCAGTCAGAAATCACTAGAGTAAACGCTTTTATAGTCAGTCAGAAATCACTAGAATAAACCCTTTGGTA